GAGGGAAGGGACATCCTTTAAAAAACACAAACTGAGAAACCCCATTCCTCTCCTTTTTTAGGTTGATAATAACCCCCTTAGAAACACTTCAGAAAAACAGAACCAGTTATTCCAGTACCAAGGAGGACTTCAAAAAACAACCACCCCTAAATGTAAATAAGGGACTGATTGCCAGGAGGTTTAAATCTGCACAATTATATTTACTTCAACACATTATGTTGATTCACCTCCGGTATCTGGGTCTTAATCTTTTAGGAAGAATAAAATAATTACGTCAGTGATTTCCGGGCTCAGCTTCAGGCACCTTTATAGACATTTGATTTTCAGAGAGGGGATGCTCAGTGAAAACCAGGCCCTTTTAAGTCTCAGGTCAAGTATTGTAAAAACAAAGCTGTGCATGTGCGTGTGTGTGCGCGCACACACACACACACACACACACACACACACCCCCCAAAACAACAACCAACCCCCCTCCCACCTAGAATCATTAACCATTTTTAAAAATTGGGGGAGGAGGGGAGGGGGGTCATCATTTTCAAGGCTCAGACCTGAAAGAAGCAGAGCATTGCTTGGGGATGCGGAGGACTATGAAATCCCACTGCTGAGATCTGCTCATCTCCTTGCAGAATTGATCCCATAGTTCTCCAGCTCACCAAGGACTAACAGATTCCAGAATCCTTAAGCCATCATTGTATTGACTTCACTACTACCCATCTCACAATCTCCTTTATAGAGATAGAGAAACTCGAACACAGAAATTCAAAGCTCCCTGGGGTAGGGGCCGTCTGTTCATTATATGTATGCACAGTGACTAGCACAGTGTGGCTCTGATCTTTGATCCTTTAGGCTTTATTGCGATGCAAATAATTAGTAATAATGATCATAAAAGCCTCATGAGTGCTGAGGATTAATTTTAATAATAATGATAATACATTCAGCCCTTCATTATGCCCACTTAACACCCAAATCAGTGGAGACATAATTCTCAAGCAGAGAGGCTGTGGCTTGCACAACTCATCATAGTTTATTCAAACAGTGGGCAATAACTGAAGAGTTACCAGTTCATAGCCCTGTAGTCAATTCACTAGGCCACTGTGCTCTTATTACAATAAAAACAAACAGGCCCATGCTGTAGTTCTGAATTGTTTCCTTTTTTCTTCCTTTTTTCATGTAGATTTATATGAAAAACAACCATCTGTATACAGTGGAAGCCAACAATGCACGTGACTTGGTGGAATTTGCAGCCAGAGATATTGAAAAACTACTGAGTAACAGATCAAAAGCCCTGGTGGTGAGTACTAACTGGATCGTTCTCTTCTACTCATTCTCTTTCTTTTTGAGTCTTCATGTTTTTACTGATGCATGTTTTGCTACTTATAAATATAGGGACATTGTCAGCCTGATGTGTACAGGACATGACATATGTAGAATGATGGCTTGCAATTTCATGATAGAAAATCAACTTATGAGTTAGGGCAGACACTTATGTTGTTGATTGACAGATTAGGGACCCGGGCCAAATGGCAAACCAAAAGATAAATAGGGTGAACAATTTTCCTCTGACTGATGCACATGAATGTTTGACATGAAGATGATAGTATTCTATAGTCATTAATAATCTTGAAGCATTGAATGGATACTCGATCCTCTAAGGTAACTCATTTTAAAAAATATTTGTACATAACCAATTGGGTAGATGAGTTTTGAGAGCGATATCCAGTAACAGTTGGGTAATATGATATGTATCTCTAAATCACAAGCCTTGACTCTCCTCATCTTTTTAACCTCCCAGTCTTTTGTGATGGTAGCATCTGATTTTCCTCTTCCAATAATGTGTTTGTGTGTCTGCTGAAGCGGATTCACTTCACAGGATGTTTGTTCTACTGCTGGCTGGCTATTTTACTCCATATTTCTACCACCTTCAGGGTAAATGAAATCCACCTTGAACTTCTAATAAGTTTGTCCTCCGTTCTAATCCCATGATCCCATATGTTTTGAATTACAACCAGTTGCTATTTCAAACTGTTCATTGGCTGTGATCCTTTTCCTTTCCATTAAATGGATCAGGTGTGGCTAATTCCTTCTTGTAACTCAGACCCACAAAACCCTGGTTCATTTCAGAATTGTTTTCTACTGCCTTTTTCAATTTGAACAATGCCCTTCCTTTAAACGTGTTGACCAGATTTCTATGGAGCGCTCCAAGTGTGTTCGCTCTTGTGTCTTTCATAGTGTTAGATCTAGAAACAGGCATTCCTTGAAGTAGGGTCTAAAACTAGATGGAACAGTAGACCTGTGAGATGAGGGTCAATTGGTTTATTTACATCTTCACATTGACGCTTAGTGTAGTTTGGGAAAAGTCACTTAAAGCCACATTGTAGTTTGCCATCTAGGATAGAATTCATCCCACTCCAGCTGTACCTTGGTCAGGTGTCAGTAACTGGCTGACAAGTGAAACCACTGCTCTGTGTTTGGCCTTCAGTACTAGCCTCCTTAAAAGCCAGGCACTTGTATCTGTTGGTAAAGTTGTCTGAACTGGCTGGTGGGGATCGTTATGTGGTGTATCCATTTGAATCTGCCCTTGCTTTTTGTGCTTCAGATGGAGAAATTCCTGATTACTCTTCTTGGTTTTCTCTCTCTTTAGTGCAGGGTTATATCTTTAATACACAATCTTTTAACTTTGCTGTGCCTTAGCTTATCTAAATGTCAGATGGATGTTGTGCACCTACAATATGCTGTTGTGTGTTCTGAGGCTGGCTTAATGTTCATATAGCACATGAACATTGCATGGACGATACATTGTGATGAATTATGATGAGTTGTTATATGGATAACTGCTGTTTCCCCACTACTTTCCCTGTCCAATAAATTCAAACCATTGTACACCTAAGGCAGTGTTGCTCGTGTTTGCAATTTTATTGTTAATCCTACTTTTTTTTTTTAAACATCAGCTACTAAAATCAAGAAGATATGCGAGAATCTCAGATTGAATTTTAAAAAAGTAAGTTTCAGGCCCTCATGGTTGCTGAGAAACTTGTAAAGTCAAGTGAATGCATGCTAAAGGCTCACAAACAAGAAAGCAAGATAAAATAACCCCAAATTATTCTTTAAATAATTCATTATCCCTTTTTAGCCGATTTCATGACTGTTCAGTGCTTAGGCTGGTAATACCACGAACAGTGGGCACCTACTATAGGACTCATACCAGGGGGCTGTAGTCTCCTGATCTTTGAGGAACTCCTGTTGAAACATGGGAGTATCAGACTCCTGGCATAAGTACTTGTCACTTTATCCATAAATAGTGAAATTCACTCTATGTAGAGGGCCAGAATTGGGCACTTAAACCTCTGCCCAGATGTGAATTTTTCTCGCAGTCTCTTAGATCCTAATGCGCTCCCTCTTTGTGCTGAAACAGCTGAGAAATTATCATTTTTAGCTGGTCTTTATGAGGTGTGTTTAATCATCTGAGGATCTCTGTGGTTTACAAACATTAATTAAGCAAATACAACAGATGCATCTCCCCCCTCCCCCTTGGATAAGTATATTTTGGATATATATATAACCCTCATCCAGCCTACCACAATTGCATATTCATCTGCTCCAGTTGGCAAAGCATTGCATTGGACTTCTGCAGACTCCCAGTATTTAAGTGTTTACTTTTTCTATGAAGCGTTCTCCCAGTCTTTGTTTGGCTTTTTTATGCCATGTGTCTATACACACACACTTCTTATGCCTTTATTCATATATAGGCATAAAAGAATACGTGTGAATACATACATGTGTATATATACATGTTTTTCCATGCTGAAAAACTGGATATTTAATTCTTACTCAGTTCCTTTCAGAGTATTATCTGCTGTTTATATGAAAGATCCACATTCCCGTCACAGGTCATAATTTCTTTTCTGGAGAACCTGTGAAATTTCAGTGACTTTAGAACAGTTACATGGGAATAAAGTAGAGTAGACTCCAAAAGATATTTTTTAAAACTACAGATAAATGTTGTGCAGAAGGGTTTAGTGTGTATTACCATACCACCTCAAGTATTCAAAAATTATGACTCAAGTATTCCCAACTCATGCTAATGGCTTAATTGTGAGATTTTGAAGAATGGGTTTTGTTTTAGTTAATTTCTGGTTATGATCTATTAGTATAATTTAAAGTCACATTTTTAATTTTTTTTTACAGCCACATGGGCTAGAAATGTTTTTTAAATGAAAGTTGAGACTCAAATATTCAAAAGGACTTCATGAGATGGATCTTTCAGAAATATGCTAACTATTGCAAGACAACCAATAGAATCACGATACTATTACCAACTTCTGTCATGGTGCTGGCTTCTGTTCTCTATTAATTCTCAGTCTATGCCATTACTGTATGTTAAAAATGACCTGTTTCATTCATCTTGCCATAAACATTAATGGTTGATTTTGTTTTTGTTTTTTGTTTTTTGGTTTTTTTTGTTCAACACCTTACTGCTTTTGTCATCAGTGTACACAGTCACTTCGGAGTTTATGTCCTCCTCCAGGTCATTTATATACACTCGTGATAGTCTCTTGTTGTTTCATGAATCTTAATCTGTTACTTTCTACTAGCAGTTCTTCACCCAGGCAGATTTCTGTGTCATACAGGAGCTTCCCCATATGTTTAACTGATTTTTGTAAACAGATCATCTGTGCTGCATAAAATAGTTCTGCAATCTAGATACGTTTACACCTACAGTTTCAATTTTGACGGAGCTGAAAAGAAGTCAGGCATAGCTGTTACTAATTACCACTGGGAATAAAGTGTGCCAAAGTGTTAATTAAGACCGAGTATGATTCAAGAGGACAATTCAGCTTCCAGCGATGCTCTCAGGGAGGTACAAGTGAATGACATCAGCGGTCTCATTGTTCATACACTGGCATAGCCGAAGGACTTCACTGGGTAAATGATAGTCCCTAGGCATGTAGCAGAAACAAAGTTGGGGCAAGGTTATAATATGCAAACACTGATGGCTTTCCCAATAATATACTACTTTCCTTCAGGTTGCCAGGGTGACTGTAAATGAAAATTAATGCTACTGTAATAAAATCTGCGGTGTTGTAACACACCCCTCTGTTAAGCATCAGTAAATATCCATGAATAAGATTTTTTGGACAACATTATCTGATGGTTTTGTACATGACATATGAAAGTGTCACTTCATCAAGCACTGGGGCTAACTCAGAAGGGATTCATCATTCTATTTCAGTCTGCATACATTAAGAATATAGTATAAAATTTATATGGAGAGGAGTGTGAAAAATGAATGAAGATAGCAGGTGTTTTTCTAGAAAGGAGATAGATTACATTTGATTAATCATCATCTTTCCTTTTAGTTGGGTTCATATATTTTCTATTCACAGAAAGTAAGCCCATCCACACTCCTTAATCTGCCAATGCCCCAGTATGGGATACCCAGTGTCACAGAATTCCAAATGAGACACACACAAATATTAGAGTTGTATTGGAAATACAGTGAAGTTTCTTTTTGTAGGGTTAGTCACTGTTTCTGTAACCATGACACCACAGTTCTTTATTTCATATGGGGAGAATAAATTCTGCAATAAAAGTTTGAAGTACTATTTTTATAAAGAACTGGAAGACTTACTCAGTGTTGCCCAGGTCCGGGGCAGGGAGTGGGCTGTGCAGGTCTCCCACTGAAGCTCCCTGGGCCTGCCTGTCTGTGAGTGTGTTGGGCGGCTCAGTGGGGCAGGCGGGGGGGAGAAGCCTGTGTCTCCTGGGAGGAGGGGGGAGAGCTGCACTGCTTGGCCTTGGTGGTACTCCAGGGGTGGTGGTACAGGGCTTTCCCTTGCTCTCCTCTTGATTTGGCACTGGGATCAAGGACTGGTAGGAGGGCCTGGGCCAGTGGCTGGTAAGATAGCAATCCCCATGCCCAGCTGGGCCATTCCTTTCCTGGTGAGGCTACCCCAGTGTTTACTCTTCAGTATAGTTGTCCCCTGTGTTTGCTGCCTCTGGTGGTCACTCTGCAGTATCATGTCCCTCCAATCAGCTCCCTCCCTTTCCATGTTATGAGAAACAATTGAATTCCAGGCATATCTAGTTTTCCTGACAAAACCAAACACAGACTTTGCTTGAAATTAGGATAAGAGGATGCTGCATATGAAATGTGGTGATCTTAGCTGTTACCATTTAGGAGGAGTTCTTGAACAAAGAGACTTGCAGATGAATAGTCAGACTCACAGACAGACACACAAATCTCTAAAATTATATATTTAGATTTAAGTATTCTTGGAACGGAAATAATTGATG